GGCGTTGTACCGAAATCCGTGTCAGTGGGACGGCACATTGCCTTAAACCATCGGTTTTATGACGTGCACTTCCGCGTGGGACTAGGCCTATATCTTTACAGCAGGAATTTCAAGTTTTTGTCAGTGTAGACATAAAAAGTTGCTGTCCTCATACTCACGCGTTTTTCAATATTTTCATTTGAAACTCGCAAGAACGGTGCTTTGAATCTAGCTCTATACTCTTTCAAAACGTCACGTAGACACAATATTTTTACTCTAAACTTTTTAATATGAGACTCGATGTTAATCTGTTTTTTTTAATATATATATATTCATATTCAATTAAAAGTTTATCGCGCAAAGACATATTTTCAGATAAAGCTTAATTTAAAATTTTTGAACATCTTTACATCTCAGTTGCGGCCAGAAATTTTTTGAACTGATGCTAGGCGTTTCAGATTGAGGGGTCGTCTCAACAAACTTATTTCCAGTTAACCATCAATTTCTGTATTTCAAAGAGGATAAAGTCATAATTCTGTTATTTATGTTTGATTATGGTAAACCCTGTACTTCATAAAATATATTTAACTGTGGTAAATTCTGCATTCAATGAAGTAAACATTTATTTATACTGTATTGTTTCATTGGTAGAAATAAATAATTGTGCTTAAATATAAAGTTTCACATTTCTTATTGAACTTGATAATTACTGTATTTTCGATCTTGTGCTGATGGGGCCAAAATTGTTGTCATGGAGAGAGAGCAAGATATGTTGTCATGGAGATAGTAAGAAACGTGTTCATTTGTTTTACTTTAAATCTTTCCAAATACAAGTGTGATTTTTATCAATGTGTGCCTCAATGATCCCATTAATTCTGAAGTTATTTCATTTTCTAACCATTTCACAAACATTTTTTTCATATAATACTTCTAAATTGGCATCATTTCCATGTTTAAATTGCTTATATATACAATGTTTGGCTACTGATATTATCTCTATCATCAGTTTTCATTCCACAAACGAAATATCAATTATTTTGCCCAATATTTCAGTTTCATTATTTTGAAACATTGAATACATGTTTAATTGGCAGTTTAAAAAAGGTGCTCATTAACTAAGTCCAATATTCAGCGTCCCTTAAATATCCATTTAGGGGCAAATCAATACTAGGCTTAGCAGGTCATCTGATTCTCAATTGGGACCCACAGGGATTTTGCTCCACCGTTCTTGGTTGAGTTTAAGTCATGGCTCTAATTGGTACAAAAATTAAGCTACCCACGAATGCTGTTTTTCCTCCGAGGCCTTGCCATAACTAACGAAAACAATGTTGTTGACATTTCTGGATTATTTCCGGTGTTTCCTTTTGTTGCTACCTCATTTCTTAAAGTATCCATGCCAATTTCTTGACTCTGTTGAAAGCCCATGGTCCAATCAACCGTTGAAAACACAACACACATAGCTGCAATACCCGTAGCATTTGGCACAGTCGGTTCCCACGCTCTAACATTTTGTGCGGTCATCATAAGTTAAGGAGGTATACCTCCTTATATACCTCCTTATCTTATGATGACCGCACACAATGTTAGAGCGTGGGAACCGACTGTGCCAAATGCTACGGATATTGCAGCTATGTGTTTTGTGTTTTCAAGTGTTATTTTATATATGTCCCACAAATCAAATTATGGTTTTGATACTATCTAGATGTATTTAATAGTATCTAGATGTCTCGTTCATTCATTTGACCAATAAAAATAATAACTGCCTGGAAAGTAATATGAATAAAGTATGTAAATAAATGAATTAAAACGTCAAATTAAGAAGCAAAAGTCTTTTCTGGGTCACTGCGAATGGCATGATTTCCTCGAGTCTCTTCAGTTGCAAGGCAACCATACTGGGACCGATTCGCGTCGTTCCACTACTGCCCTTGGTGGGGGCCCGCTACCATACTATATGACTCCCGGAGTTTACTAAAGCACGTTAGTGGAGGAACCAACCACAGTCTCACAATCTGTCTCCGGCAAGAGCGGCCAGAGAACCAACCCATGCCAAGGGCCGGTAAACGGTTGGACCTTCGGACCGGATGTCCGTAGTGACAATGATCAACAACTCCGTACCTGGGGCTCGAACGCGGGACCTCCGTATCCCACGACGTTCAACCGCAAGTAGCCTCAGTCTACGCCACTAGGCTACCCTGCTTAGGTGTCAAAACTGCTAAAAAATAATGTAGTTGTTACAATTATTTGCTTGAATAAATATGACATTATAGTTCTTAATTGATTAATCTAATTTAGTTGGAATCGAAGTTCGACCAACGGTCAAGGAAATGCCATCAACAACTCTTGCAAATGTGAACGGGAGTCGTAAAGACAGAAAGTACAAGAATCGTGATCAATGTAAAGTATTATATTTAAGACACATCTTTGAATATCGGGTAGGAGAAACATTACAAAATGAAGAAGAATCATTTAGAATATTTGATTTGTTGCCAATATATCAATTGCGTCTCAAATGAATGAAATAAAAGGTATCGCAGGCCACTAAAGCCGATAAGTGAAAACAATAATAATTGACGCATCTAGATCGCTCAATATAATGGTAAGTGAAAAGGTTTGTGTAGATACGTCGAGGAAAATAAGCTATTTCGACGCTTGAAATAATCTGATTACGCTTATTAATAATTACGTATGGCTATTAAACACAAGTGTTGTGTAGAACAAAAACAAGAAAACTGAACGACCTATTAAGGAACTGTAAGTAAGTGTTGATATTTCCGCATGTTCAAAAACACAAAATTTATAATTTGGGCTATCCATATTTTGTCAGATATCTCCTATTCATATTGCAGCTGTTTCCGAAAAGAATTTACACTCGCTACTCAAAATGAGGAATGGACACAAGTACAGAGCCTAGTGAAGGCATCTATCTAATAGTGGCTTTTCCATATAGCTTTGAAATCTCGTTAATGTCTCGTTTTAATGAGATTTTAGGAGATCTGCATTTTTAAACACTAAAGACTAACATTTTCTTCTATTTGAATTCTGTGTGTAATTTTTTATCAAAACAACTTAGTTTTTGCACTGTTATTTACCTTTATTCAAATTCTATGAGAGATTTTCAAGTTTTCTAAAAATGGTCGGGCTAAATCCCCATTGACAAAATGTTGAAAAACCTTCAAAAGTTCATTTACTCTTACAAGGGTCACAATTTTAATGTGAAATCACAATTCATATGTCAATATGCAATAATATCATATAGTTACATTCTAATGGTGTTTTAAGTTGATTCAAATGGAATTACTTGTTAAATCAAGAAATTAAGCGACTCTTGTCATGTTATTTAGCCCTACCTATACCCATGATGCCATCTATTTTTCCATTTATATGGAAAGGGTCCATTCTACAGAATCAGACTTTTTGGGGAATGCGTCGAGCGGGGACGTACCACATCATTTCAGGGTGCATCATTAACATTCTAAGGTTTAATTCTCTATTTTGTTCTGGTAAATATCATTATGATATATAAAATCGCAAAAATAACTTTCCAATGGTGTGCTTAACGTGTGGCTAGCCATGCTTTACCACGATGAATAAATGCACGTAAACCTTTGGTTTGTAACTTCCTGGATATGTGTTTTTTGTTTTCTCGATTTAAACTTACGTTAAGTCATGTTGCGGATTATCATTTGGCACAACGTTAGAAAATATAGTCTAGCTTTTAGAAATGCTCTCGGTTTAGAATTTGATTTTTCAACAAAGCTGTAATTTGTGCATTTAGACCATCGCTTTTGTTACATTGACGTATGTCGTCAAAGTAACATACATTGGTAATATAACAGGCTTTCGTCAATGTATCAAGCGAGGGGCTTAGTATATGAATTACAGCTTCATTTACAAAACAAATTCCAAATCGAGTAAACGTATTAAAACTAGGCTATATTTTCTAGCTTTGGGCAAAATTTTAATCTGCAACTTGACTTATCAGTAGGTTTAAATCGAGAAAGCAAAAATTTCGTAACCAGGAAGTTCATCCATTTTGTTACATTGACGTTCCGTCAAAGTAACTAGTTGTGGAACAGTGATTATGGCATTCGGTATAACGCCTTTCGGTACAATGCGCGTTGGTATAATGGGTTTCGGAATAATGCGCGTCGGTATAATGGGGTTCGGTATAATGCGCTGACCCCATTAATAGTACAATAACATCATTTCAAAGGGCATTATAGTGAAATATTGGACCAATTGCCGAAGGCCCAATATTTCACTATTTTGCCTGCAGAAACGATGTTATTAGTATTTTTACCACCGTAAATTACCAGGGCCGAAATGGTAAACACTGACTGGTCAGAAATTACTAGAAACTATGAAGAGGGGCAAAGTAGAAGAGAACTGCCCTTGATTTAAATTATGTTACCAGCTTTTTATCACCATTTTTGTGACTGGCATTCAGGGTTGGTTTCTGATACAATTGTTAACTTTTCCAAAATGGTGGCACCTAGACATGTTTTAAAAATACTTTTTATTATCCCTCATGGGTCGCGTGATTACCAAAAACCCCAAAGATTTAGTTTGTTAAGTTGTCTTTACAGTAATGTTGAAATAATTTGCAAAATATAATGACAAATTAAAGGTATATAATAATAATACTTTATTTGTACAAGGAGAATTGTATTACATGCCAAATATTGGTAGTTCAAATTTTAATTATTCTTTGTTTGATTTTATTAATTAACTTAGTACTAATTACTGTAGTACTATTTATTACTCCAACGATTTTCCAGGAAGCTAAGAATAAAATTAGTATCAATGAACGGAGATATCTTAAGACATGACCTGTAATATTCAAAATTTCTTTACCAAAAAGTGTCCAATGGATCATGCAATGTACAATGTAAATTAAAATGGAACATAAATTATTGTTTTAAATAAGACAGTAATAAATTATAAAACACTAATGAGGTCTAAATATTTTCAGGAACTAACGGCATGGCACTCAATTTGAACTAAAATTAGAGTGAAAATGCAAAGAAGGCATGGTGATGAATTTTTAAACCAAAATGGTTATATCACTCAACTATAGAAATATTACTCGAATGAGAATGCATTTTATTATCAACGAGATGATAATCTATGAGAGGATTATTTTACAATTCATAACAATTTTTTAGATAAAACAGGTACATTCCTACAGAACATATTTAGTCAGTTTGATGTACTAGTAATAGAAATATTATTAAACCAGAACATCAACGTGCCCTCGCAATTATTTTACAATAAAGACCTACATAGTAAATACCTTCCATAACATATATACAATTTTTTCTATTATAAATTACTAATAATAACACGGACAGTGATATTACTTATTTGCATTCACATAACTACAGAACAACATTTATAATACAATTAGTTTACATAATAATTATTTCATTAACAATCCCTTTATAAATCACTACATGATATCCATGTATAATCCAGTCTACATTTAATTGATTTCTTAAATTATCACTGCACTACCACTTTTAACAAATTAAATACCACCTTTGTGTTCTTTGATAATTCAGACACTGTCAATTCTTCATTAACATCCAAAACTGGTTGCAGTTTTGTCACTGGAATAGCCTATGTAATTCAAAATTCCCGATATTCATGGCATTTCCATGGCACTTCCATATTGGGGAGTTTTCATGAATCTAGGCTTGCATCATATTGGTAAAAAGCTAGAGGCTTACTGAACAGCATTAATTAGTTTGTATCTGTATATACATTCTCTTAAGGAGTACTTTATACACAAGTCTGTATGCATGAATATAATTTAAGTTGCACGATGTCATCTTTTCCGCTTCTGTTGCTCAGGTTTATTTTGGTTATAGAATATATTGTGTCTCCGGGGTGTGGCCTCAGACTGGAAGAACAGCATAAATGAAACATGAATTAAAAACAAAATTATGAATAATAGATAAATCATGCTTTTTATTATCCTTGGTATGAAGCACAAAGTAGCTCTTCAAATTAGATAACACTTTGAACATCATTGGCTTTGATGTCTATCATAATGTACATGTAGCACGTTATGAGTCTCCATATTTCCTGATGTTTATTTTATTGTGCTTTGAAAAAGTCCAATATTATTCAATTAGCTAAGCTCAAAGTATTGCATCTAACATGGATGTAATTATAAAGTGATGACTCCTCTACTTGGTGTACCTTAATGTTAGTGAACTTACCAATCTTTGCTGTATTTTTGATGGTATTTCCTCTGATTCAGAATAGATGTCCTTCCTCTTTAAGGTTAGCTCTGAGCCATCTTCAAACTCAACCTGAAAATGAACAATTCAAAAATGAGGCCCTGCATAAAATTACTGACATACCGTATTCTCTGTAATTAGCGCCCAGGGCGTTTAGAAAATTGAAAATACATTATTTAGACCGTTCTAATAAGCGCCCATGTATGAAAGAAATCAGAAATCCCGAGGAATTTCATGTATGGCAATTTTTCTTGACAAGAATGCATTTTCTTCAACATATTTTTATAATAATATGACAAGTGCTGTTATTGGAGAGAATACGGTAAAGATCGCTTAGACAATATTGACAGTGGTTGAAGACCCGTCTATGTCTAATTTATTTCCGGCACGCCCACTTTGTCATTATCGCCGATTACCTTCAATATTTCCACTAGAGACTGCTGGATATCGATCTAAAGTTATACATTATTTCTAATTTGATGAGAGATCATCATTATTCGTGCAAAAGTCGTGTAAAAGTCGAGAAACATTAAAAAGAAACCAGAAAGTTCACGACCTTGACATGCGCAGAACATCTGCGCAGTAGCTTTTGAAATTTCTGAATGCCGATAAAGAACAATTCCTTCATTCATTATGGACTATTTGGAGACAATATTAGCATGGTATGGTGTGGGAAGCACCCATCGATAGATATGTATCGAGAGGATGCATTACAAATTACAAAACGCGTCGTGTTTACAGCAGTTTTAGGGTAAGTACTCTATTATCGCCCGCTCCTGGATTTTGAGAAATATTTTTTTCCTGATATATTCTTCAATTCTTGTTGATTCCTCGATGTTTCTTGAACTTTGTGAAGCGGGGTGGGCGCTTATTAGAGAGTGGGCGGTAATTACAGAGAATACGGTATGTAAAACTCACATACAAAGAGGAAAAGATTTTTGCAATAGAATACCATTCTTAATCAGTCATATGCAATTCAAGTACTTTCCTGTTCATGTCTTTCTGGTAAAGTGTATCCTAACTGGTCATTTTAAGATATGCACAGACTCTTGAATGCACTATACACAGCCAATATAATTCGGCGCCGTCTCGGCATCGAAAACATTCGGCACTGTTTCGACACTGTTCCGGCACTGAAAGCTTCGGACACCAAAATTTGCCACCGGAATAGTCAGTCCATTTCGGGCATCAAAAATCAGATTGCATTTTGGGGGTGTAATAGAAGTTAATGTTGAATACTTACCACATACATGATGAATGAGTTTGTGCCTTTAAACCTGCCATCATAGATAAGACCATCTGGCCAACGAACTTTGACAGGCTCCTCCTTCTGTGGGGGACCTTTCTCAAGACAATTATGACTCTAAAAAGTTGAATGTGTAAAGATGTCAAAACTGGAATAAAATACATGGTTCTTCAATTGGATACTGAATTCTTCTAAAAATTTGCATCCATTTTTTATTTACCCTCATTTAAAAAATAAATATCAATTTGGTGTGTAACTGAAATTTATCATTTGCTAAATCAACATAATCCTATTTATTGAAGACCATATCTAATGAAGGGGAAAATGTAAGAATATTTTTTGAAATTTCATGTGTTTTGTTTTCATATATCTAAACAGTACATTACACAGTATACAGTACCTCTATATCCTCTGGGAAGAGATCTTTACTGGTAGAGCCATCTGAGAATTGGACCTCATAGTAAACATGCGTCTTGGTGCCAGTCACCTTGGCCTTGTAGAACCTGTGGTTCTTGTGCTTGGCTGCCACCTTCTCTCCCATCTTTAACTCAGTGAACTCTCTGTTAGACTAAAGTACAAACAATATAACGATCATTAACTCTACAGTGCACTCAATTTCTGCCATTTTGGAATACCAATTGTAAAATGGATGATTTATCAGGTCAGCAGGCCAGGCTGAAAGTTCAAATTGGTGAGTCATCTCATCCTCAGAGTGATATGCAATTACTTTATAACTGCACCTGTTTTCAAGGCCACAGACTAGTATTAAAGACTATTGAGAATGAAGTTTAAGTAAAAGAGTTGTTTCAAAGTACATTACTAAATACCTGAAGAACTTCTTTGTGTGGGTCATGACGATGACGATGACATGTGATGTATACAGGCCACGGCCAATCAGATGTCTCAAAGAGGTACCCCACAGCATGGGCACATGTTACATGGAAGGCAGACATACATTTGCCCACTGAGCATTGGGTACACGCTCCTGGGCTAACAGAAGGAATGGATATGGCACGAGGAGTTTTTGATTGGCAGATCAAACATTTCTGAAACAATATTTGTACAATTAAAGGTGAAGGACTACTCTTTTTATAATGTAGAATTCTCAAATAGGAACACAATCACTTGTACCGTAAAATTGTTTTTCAAATTAAAAATCCAGGAAAACAAGAGAACATATCAAAATGTAATTACTTTTTTCTGTTTATCATTTTCACACACTTTCCTATTACGATTTAAATACAAGTGGGTGATAACAATAGCACACCCATGTGAGCCAACATGTAATAAGCAGCAATTATTACAAGTCTCATTGTGTACTTTTACAAACTCAACTTACAAGTTTTTTCCTGGCATTTGATATTTTGCTGATATTGATAAGCTCCCTGTGAGTGACATCTTCAAAGGAGACCTCTGGTATGGACAAAGCACAGACGACATGTACCCATTTCCCCGTCATCGTCTGCTTGTATGCACCACCACGTAGACTACATAGGCAACATGTCTAAAACAAAATTATCAGCATCAATACAGTGTAAAATGTAACACATGGAACTAAAGCTAGTGTTAGTTCATATAATTTGGGATGTGTTGCTTAGAGGTCAATCTATTGGATTGCTCACGTTTTTATCATTGGTTCTGGTTTGATGCAAATAAGTAGAGAAATGCTTCCCTTCAAATCTATCCAAGTGGAGACCATAGCATACTTTTAAAACCAAGTGTACTATTAAAAATAATAACAACGAGAGACAAATACATACCACATCATAAAACATATTGATTCTGCAGCGAGCACATCTCCAGTTGCCTTCCACTTCTCCATCAACATCACCATAGCAACCTTAAGGTTAAAAACAACGCAATGGAGTGAACTTGTAGTTGTGCAACATACATTATATATTATTACAGTTGTTTCTTATATATGAAAGTGGAGTTGGTTTAGTATGTGTTTGTGTTTATCAAATCTTGCCCCTTATTCTTTCAGACTAAATTGAAAATTAAAATGAGTCAAAAAACCAAGAAAACATTCACTCACTTGCATGAACACAGACTTTACAAGTTTCACATGTTAACAGCTGACTGAGACCTTCTTCATCCAGTGCAGGTCCCATCACCTGAGGTTTAGGATTGGTTGAACAAGATGCAAAGCACACCTCTGGAATCATGGGTAAGGACTTCTCTGGGATGCTTTCTTGTTTAACTGTCGGCTCATCCAAAACCTCTAGTATTTTGTCATTCTGAAATATAAACCACAAACCAGGGGGTCACAATCCACTTGCTTAACATTTTTTAGAAGACCACATCAGACACATGCGCAAGTTTATTAAATGCAGTTTACAAAATGTGTATTGTCATTGTACCAATTTCTACTGCACTTGTATCTTACATAATGTTGAACATATCATTTTTCATGTAAAATGTATAATAATGTAAAAATTTTCTTTCCTCAACTCTTGTGTGTATATAGTATATCATAACTGTATGTATACTTACATTCGGTCTACTAAAGATCCCACATATACTACAATGTGGCTTCTCGAAGGCCATTGCTGTGTTGTAGGCCTGTTCTGCCTGAAAGTCCTCAGGCTGACAGTTCCATAGTCTCTGGACAGCAGCAGCCCATTGCCCATTCTTGGCTGTGAATTGTCCCACAATGTCTTGCACCTCTACAACACACAAGAAAATTATAATCTTGCATCTGTGCCTGGTTTCTTCTTTTCCCTCTCTAAAACTGATTCAGAGAATATGCAGGGGCAACACAAGGGGGAGATGCAAGACTAGAGAATGTGTAATACGAAGGTGTCTATGCAAATCATGCATTTGTAATTCTTACTCGATAAAAGCAAACACTGATGTCTGAAATCTAGTGTATAAATAAACTGTACTTCTCTAAATACAAACATGATAACATTTTTATGTTATAACAATTAGTTCTTGAGGCTTTACCTTCACGAGACATGTGAGGAGGAGATTGTGCACCTTTTTTAGTATTCTTGCCCCCACGTCGACCTTCAAGATGTGATTCTGGAGAACTGCTGGACTCCTGGCCTGTCTCATTCTAAAATGAACAAATATGCAATCTTTAAATTTAGATAACAATTAGCCAGAAGCAAGCCACAAAGGGAAAGGTGATCGCATTCATAGAGCTGGAGCTGCCTGGTATTATAGTTAAAGTATGTATCCAAAAAATAACTGCTTTTTGATGCTATAAAATCTTAGCTCACAATGAGCAGGTCAATATTTCAATGTAGTCTCGAAATAACAATAAATATCAAAACTTCAATTATCTTTGTGAGTGGACATCGGTATATTATATTCCTTTATGTAAAAAGAACTCACCAGTCGTTGAAGATCCTTCAGTCTCTGCATCTGTAAAGTGGCTTCACGGACTTTGCTTTTCTTCTTGCTGAACGACTTCTTCTTGGCAAGCTCCACGCAGGTATCTGGAGGACCTGTCATTTTGCGCCCAATTTGGTTGGCAGATTCCGAATCACTCTCTGATGTGGTTGACATTATAGGTTTTGGTTGTGGCTTCAATTGCTTTAACGTGTTAGGCGAGAGTACATTGTAGTTAGGGGGTTGAAGGAGATCTGCACTGAGATCAGGGCTACTCCTTAGTGCCTCAACATCTACTGTGATCATATCCTCTTGCAATGGCTCCAGAGCCTCGGATAATGGGGGCACATCATTTGACATGGCCATTTCAGTAGAACTGAGACTTTGAGTGGCAGAGGCTTTCAGCTTGGACTGCTGCTTTAATTTCTGTCTCTCCATTTGCTTGAGTTTCATCTGTTTTTCAGCTTGTCTTAATTTAGCCTGTTGCTCACATTGTTTTTGCTTCTTTTGCTCCATGAGAAATTTTTCTTTCTGCATCCATTGTCTGACATCATAATCCCATGGTCGTTTAGTGGGAACAGTCTTTGTGGTAGCAGTCTGGTTTTCACTGGTAGCAATAAACTGATTGAGAGTGATCGCAGCATTCTTATTAGTAGCACCATTTTGACTAGGAGAAAAGTATGCATGATCGTTATTATTCGGCTCCTGGTGTTCAGGAACAGATGCATCTTCCTCTTTTATATTAGTAGGATTCTCACCTAATGTCTCACTATCAGTGTTATGTTGAGATTCAGCTTCCAAAGTGACACTTGTTTCCACCTTGATGGGGGGCACATTTTCTATATTGTCATTTACTGGGAATGTATTGTCATTAGGGAGGTTACTGTTGTGTGTTGTATAGCTAGGGGTCTGGCTTGGAGTGTGCCCTAAAGGTACACCTTGGCTATGTGTTTGAGGAAGTTGTGAAACCTGGACAAGTTGCTGACTGGGGGCATGAGTTTGCTGAAGTTGCTGACTAGGAGCATGTGTTTGCTGCTGATGGGATGGATCACTTGGGTTGGTTGTCTGAGGGTGGAGGTGGGTAGACCCGGTCATCAAGTTGTGACCACCAATTTCCGATTTGGTGCTGGGAGCTAGGGTGATAACTTGGGAGCCATCCGATAGGGTCTGTACCAAGGAGAAGAGATTGGAGGTAAGACTGGGAGGAATCATGGAGAGTGGGGTCACACAGGTGGCCTGGGCTGGTGACTGTAGACTGCCAGACAGAACTAACTGGGGGCTGGAAACCTGGCCACCCATGTTGGGCCTCACTGAGGCCTGCAACATTATGGGGTGGCCCCCTTCTGGACTGGTCACTACTAGTGGCTGGTTCCTTCCTGGGGTTGACATGACTTGGGCTACTAGTGGTTGATTTCTGCCCTGACTGGGAACTACTTGGGCTACTAACGGTTGCCGAATGACTTGATTGTTGTTTACTATAACAGCCTGGTTTGACCCATTTCGGTTGATCATCTGAGCCACTACTGGTTGATTTGCACTTTGACTGTGCATTAGCTGAGCTGTGATTGGATTGTTCACTGTTGACCTGTTCACAGCCTGGACTGACTGGCCCATAACCTGATTGCTGTAAAGCTGTGTTGTGATTGGTTGGTTTTGAGACTGGGTGTTTGTGACCGTGACCTGTGGACTCATAATTGGCTGACTGATCACCTGGCTGCTTAGAGCTTGGGCTGCTGACATGTGTTGCTGTGTCAGCAGATTGGCTGAAGTGATCCCCTTGCCTTGTATACTTTGAGACTGAGCTATCATCATTTGCTGTTTCACTGTTGGATTCACTGTAGCTTGGGCCATAATCTCTTGGCTCACGGAACACTGACCTGTGACAGGAGGTTTTCGCATGCTTGTCGGCACTGTGCTGCTGGCCATATGTTGCATCAGTTGAGCTGGAGTTGTATTGGTCGACATTTGAACCCCTCCTTGCTTGGGCTGGATACGACTGTTTTGCATAAGGGCCAGAGTTGCCTTTGTCTGTGATTCTAGAAACTGTCTCAGCGTCAAGAGCTGTTGACTTACTGTAGGTTGAATTTGTATGGGCTGGTGTTGTGTTATGTGTTGTGTTATATTTGGAGCTTTTACTTTCTGTGGCTGAGTAATAATCTGCCCAGGTGAGGGTTTGATGACTTGTTGTTTTACTAGTTGTTGGCCAATTATCTGGGCTAACCTTGGATCTTGGGTGGTCACGTTGTGATTTATGCTTGCTTGCTGGGTAGTCCTGTTTAGAGCTGGGTTGGTAATAATTCTGATAGGAGCTGCTTGTTTGCTGGTCACTGTGGCTGTGGGGACTACTTTTCTCTGACCTGTGGTTGTAGCTTTGATTAATGTCACTGTACTGGCTGGCTTGCTGGTTTGGTGGGCTTGTATGGAGGGACCTGTCATTGTGTTTGATGAACTTGTTGTATTGGAAGGACCAGTCATTGTTTTGACTGGTTTGAGCAATTCCTGAGAACCTGTCACTCCACTGGAAGTGTGTGTCGTGACAGGGTGCCCCACCACATGCTGGGGCGGAGCAAGCACTAAAAAAGAATCCGCTGAAGTAGTATGAGGACTTTTACTGGACTCAACAGCCATCTGTGGTTTCAACTGAGTATTTTCACCACCACCTTGATTGAAATATCGCTGCAGGATGGCAGATTCTTGCTGTCTTTTTAGTGCCCTGGCAGCATCAATCTTTGCTTTGACTTGTGCCTTCTCATATGCAGTTTGGACATGACCAGTGCTACTAGAGACAGGCATAACAATTGTAGGTTGTCCAGTACTGGGAATACCAGACACAGGAGCCAACTGTCCTCCCAATGACACCTCACCTTTCTCATCCCTACTAACTATTAAACTGTCCCCAATTGGCGATTTTAATTTTGATTTATGTTTCACCTTTGCTTGGATCATATCTTGCATTGAAACATTCTGTCCATTCTCTTTTAAATTTCTTGGGCTAAGGGCCCCTCTAGGTCTCTGAACTAACTCAGCCTGTTTCACTCTTTGTTGAAATCCATCAAGAATAAACTTGGACTGGGCTGCAGTAACAGGATTCAAATAATTTCCGTCCGCATTGGGACTTGATTTTAGAAGCACTGGATCAATATCAAATGCAGGGTTTGTATGCTGAGTTATTTGAATGCCATCTCCTATATTGGGAGAATCTCTTGCAGAAACCCTTACAGCACCAGAAACCATCTTAATTCCATGATGCTTGGCGTGATTCACAAGTTTCTGTTGCGGTCTTGGCATCTTGTTCATGGCAACTTGGGATAAATTTGGCTTTTGCATTGAGCGCTGATCTATATAGTTGTAATATTGGATATTCGGAGGTTGGGATGCTGGTGTTGTGTTATGCGGTTGATTTAAAGGGGCTCCTTCATATGGCTGAAGTTGTGGTGGACCCTTACTCTGCTGCTGCTGCTGCTGCTGTAGCATCTCATGGGCCATACTACTGAGCAGATCTAATCCAGATTTATTAGACCCAGTATTGGAATTGCCAATACCTGTATTCAGTTGATGTAATCCAATATTCTGAGATCCAGTAGTGGTACTAGTGACTGCTGTGCTAGGTGCTTCCATCATGGTACGGATCTTGCTCTCTGTTTGTGATGTATTCACGCTTTCAGGATAGTTCATTTGGGAGGTCGAGGTAGGTATGAAATGTGCGGGTTGAATGAGAGGTTTGGGCTCTTGTTTCACTTTCTTCTTATCAAGCTGAGCTTGTTTATCAGATGCCTCTCCTTTCCGTTTACCACCACTTGGCTTCAGGACAACCTTCTCCTCATCCTTAACAGTAGGGTCATCATCCGGTGGTTCAGATTTGTTTTGCAAATGCTTTTCAAATTCAGACATAAATGTTTTCTGCTTTTGACGCTTTTCCTCTTGGGTTGATTCTTTTAAGTACTGTTCAATTTTCTTTTTTTTGAGACCTTCTGGATCAACTTTGGACTTCGGTTGTGCTATCTTCTTGCCCTTCACCTTAGTATCTTCATCCTTTGCAACTTCCACCTCCACCTCTGTATCACTGCCACTATCAGATTCTTGCACTTCTTTCTGTTTTGTGCCCTTCTTTGGTTTAGCCTTCCCTCCCTTGGCTGTTCCAGCTTTGGCTTCCACTCCTTTTCCTAGTCTGTGCACAGGATGACGCTTAGTGGTAGCAGTGCCAGTTCTGTTGGCTTTCTTCTTCTGACTGCAATACAGAGCAAGAGTCATTGTATTCGGTATAGTTGTACGTTATCACAATAAATAAACATTGATTACATAAAAAAATCAATGATATTTAAGAAAATGATAAGTTATATTTCATTCAATGTTTTGTGTTATTTCATAATGAAAGTTCAATTATACAGTAGTCTCGTTCTAATCTTGCATTTTATGTAATTAGGAGCAAATTAGGACAACACATACCTGTCCTCCTCAAGGAATTTTGGAGTTTTCCCCACTAGTTTAGCTTTATCATCTTCTGGATGAGGCCCCACATCTCTCCCTTCTATCCACATCTTAAACCTCTCTGGCTGGAAACGCTTCACAAAGCAGTCCATGCTGATCTTGACCATGTCTTTACGACATGTGCACTGCAGATGCAAATGTAGAAGATACAATATGGATGTAGCACTATACATGTATTTTAACAAAAAAATGGCAGAAGTCAAGCTGGTAAAGGAGCATGCCTCTCTTAAAATGAATTAGTAATGTTATTTGATGCAAACTGAACATTTCTTATGATCTCAAGGGAAGACAGCTACATCCATAACAGCAATGTTCTTCTGTATAATGTCAAATCAATAGTTTGAATAGAAAACAACCATGGCGGCTAATACAGAAATGTAAATTATTGAATCTCTGTGATAAAAGTTGATACAGGTAGAATCTGAAAGTATTCTATCACTCTCTAGATTCTACTTTGAGAGGGTGCTACACCTCTAATGAAGATTGCAGACAATTCATACCTGTATACAACGTTTGCCATATTCTACCCATCTCTTAGAGCCAAAGTTAGTAGACTCTGCACAGTTGTAGCCATGGTTGAAGCCAGCATGGTAGCCATAGGGAAATGTCAACATGATCTCGCCGGCCTCTTGTACAATCTACAATAAAAAAACACAAATATTTGAAACACCTTAATATAGTTACATATCTTTTTATTTAATTTTTCTTGGAGTCTCAGTCAAAAGTTTCAAGTTGAACAGGTAAGCGGTTATTCTAGAATCGTGATGACACGATTTATGTGGTGACCCTCCATTCATCCAGGCAGAATCACACTCGCACAGACGCACACATGCCCATTAGCACAAGACGACAATATAGCGTTTTGAAAAACTGTGATAAATATTCTCGAAATATGTAATTTATGATTGGATTTTCTTGAATATTCAAATCAGCATTGCTTTTTTAAAGCTAGTGTTGATATATGAACATTTTGACAACCACCCCCCGATTTGACCCAGTATGCCAAGATCATTGTGACGTGATATCAAGCAAGGATGTAGCTTACCTTATTAAATGGTATAGAGTATTGTTTGAGTATAGAAGGGGAGATAAGAGTCATCTTGTGTCTGAGGAAAGCCTGGCATTCTGAGGCACTTGTGGGGAAAAATCCTACAACAAATATAGATGTATATTATACAGTGCCAAAACATTGGTGCAAGTGTTTGAAAGTGTCTCAATAAAATATAGTCAGACTAACCTAAACATTACCTAACTGTGGTTGAGCAATAGAATATACAGCCTTGTTTTGATAATCAATACAACAATATAGGAAGAAGATTTGGAAACCCCTACAATACTAAGATTATAATTCAATGCGAATTCAAGGCTTATAAGCTTATAAGAAAGAGTGTATAATGTATGCACCTGCAGCCAGCCTCTCTAGACGTCTACCATGCTCAGGGGGGATGGCATACCAAGACTTGGGGGCCCCTAGATGGACATAGTTGATACTGTAGAGGTCCATGTCCTCTGTATGCCAGGCAAATGTTGTCTTCCACATACCAAAGTAGAGATACGCTGTATTCACTCCTTCTATCTTGGTACCTACAATTAGAACAGGTACATGTATATAATATTAATATCTAAGTATTATGCAGATGACAAAATGTTGTTTGAGAACTCAATTGTCTAATAATTTTAAGGAATCAGCTAAGTACAAAGTTCAGTACATGTAGATTGAAAGTTCTCCCTCTTTAAAAGTGAATATTAAGAGAATGAAATACAAAACATAAATCACCACTGAATTTGATATGGTTAATTCACTATAGAAATAATGCTCCCTTAATAAATGCAAAAATGGAAGAAAGGGCGACCCTGAGATCTCATACAATGATATGTAAATCAAATGCAGTTTAAGCCTTACAAGTCTGTATGTATTTCATGTTTTGAATGTAACCAAATAAACATAAATTATAATCAAAATAAGATTATTTACTTAGTGAAGATATAATTGAATTAAACACTCCAAATTTCTGATTTTATCAAGTGAGTTTGATTTTTGATTTTTTACAATATAAGGACCAGGTCAATCTTTCAATGTCATCTAAAAATTTATTAATTACATTTCAAACTGACTTCCTCAATCCCCCTAATAAGTTGCTTTCCTTTAAACTTGATGTTTGCAACAACA